AGTTTGAGCTCAAACTAGAAGGATAAACAGAAGTAGGCTAAGTAAAGAGGGGAGGTAAAGAGCATTGTAGGCAGAGGGAACAGCACATGCAAAGGCCCTGTGGCATGAGGGAGCATAGTGACTGCAAGGGGCTGAAATATAATCTACATAGTTAGAGCCCAAAGGCAGAGGATAATACAGCAGGCAATGGAGACACAAAAGAAGGAGACAGATTCTCCTGGGCTGTGCAGGCCGTGTTATGGAGGTTTTCTTTATCCTAAGAGCAAAGGAAAATGTTTACATTATTAAGTCCTGCTCTATACTGTCCTGTATTTGGGTTAAATGCTACCTCCTTCCACTCACCAATGCTAGCATCTGTAAAAACCTATATGCTTGGTATTTGCTATTCTTTTATTCAAAGATTTTTAAAAATTGGATTTTTCAGTGTGTCTGGCACTGTGCTAAGCACTAGAAATATAATGGTGAGAAGGACAGACAGGGCCCATGTACTGACCCTCGTTCTAGGGAGGAGACAAGTAACTAAATGATTCCAACAAAGTGTGCTTAGTGCTTTGGGAGGCAAAGTAGAGGGTGCCATGGATTTGCATTTTCCCCAGTGTATTTCACCCTGACCTTTCAACATCTGCAGTATTTGGAACTGCTTGCTGCCAGTCATGCCCTTGTTCTGTTCTCTCTCCCCAGCCACTGCTTTGATTGTCCATTAAATTAAAAGACAGAAGGCGCCAAATGAATCTTTCAAGATTTGTTCAGTGGAACTGGCAGAGTTTTGCCAAACACGTTTAGTCTTGGCTGACCCAGTTTCTCTGCCTGGGATGAGCAGACAGTGCCTTACAGCTCTGTTATCTAGGTCATTAGACAGCAGCTGCCGGGCAGCCTGCTCTCTGCCAGTGCCCGCCTTTCCTGCAGGTGCACAGCCTTCTGGTGGCATTGGGTGACCTGTGTACTCTAGCCTGGGGGTGGCACTTGGCCATAGCTCAGACTTTCTGATCCTACGGGAGAGTAGGCAGAGTATCAGGAGGTGAGTCCTTTGTTTTGCAGGTGACCTCTTTAGAGACTGCTGCCCTCCCAGTCACTATAAAGCAGTGGGTGGAGGTGACAGTTTTCAGGTCCTCTTTTTACCTCTCTTAACTGACATCTTAAAATCAGAATAAAACCATTGTCTTAGTGATTAAGAAAACAAAACAATATGTAACTGTGCATGTGATCTTCCCAGATTAAGTTGGTTAAGAGCATGGGTTCTGGAATCCCAGCTCTGACTTCTAGCTGTGTGATTTTTGGCCAGTTACTTGGCCTCTCTGAGCCTATAAAATGGGGATAATGGAGTCTACTCATGAGGTATCTTATAGATATCTATAAAGTAGTTAAGCACAGTGCCTGGTGATGTTGTAACCATTTGCATGATGGTAACAATTAGTATGTGATTTCAAGATTTCAGTTCCCTTTTCCAGATTAGGGGATAGAAAGGCATATTTGCATATTTTCATTTGAGTCTTCCACCAAATCCCACATTTACTGTGGTAACACCTTGTAGATCAAACATAGGTATTGAGCTCTCTTCCCTCCTCTCACCCCAAATGCAGTTCCTCACAGTTAGAGTCTTACTCGTGAAGTATGAGTTTAGATTGATACGTGCATCCTGGTGAGACTGGGTATATTACTGCCCTGGGAATTTCTGGTGGTCTTAGCCAGGGATACAGACCCTGTAGCTCCATGCCTCTACTGTCTGGGCTCTAACAGCTCCTGGCAGCAAGGTTTCTAGCATGTGCAACTTTACATTTTACATGGAACTGTCTTCTGGCCTGTCCTACAAGTAATGACAAGTTCTTTTCTTTCTTTCTCCCCTCCCACCTTCTCGCCCTTGTTTAGGTGAAAATCGCATTGAGGTTCTGGCTGAAGTCTGGGACCACTTCTTCACTGAGACTCTCCCCACCCTGCAGGCAATATTTTATCCAGTTCAGGTCAGTCTCCTTGGGGAATGACCTCCTGCCGGCCTCAGCAATCTGTGTTCTTTCTTGGCCTTTGCAACCTGGGACCTCCTGGTGCATAAGAGAGAACCTGCAGATTGGGAGCCTGAGATGGTTAAAGACCTTGGCAATCTTCTGAGGGCTCTCTGGTTCTATATTTAGCACTTAACTTCAGGCAAAGAGTGCCTGCCTATCTAACTAGCAATTTGTAGCTCTCATTACCCTCTTAGTTTTGAGTATGCCTTTATATTCTTGAAGTGGTTTGTTTTTTATTTTCAGAAGTAGAGAAGAGGAAAGAGGGATACTTTTTTTCTTTTCCTTCTCTCTCCCCCTGCCTCTTTCCTCCTTCCCTTCCTTTTTCTTTTTCTTTTCACTGAAGCACAATTTTTAAGCAAGTTTGCTGTTGCCCTCAAATTGTGGAAAAGGAATAATGTCCCTTGCCCTTTGTAAGGGATCCCTGAAGATGAGAAGGAACGGAATATAGCGATCCGAGGGTTGCAATCCCGTTGCCGGTCCCCGGTCCAGTACGGGGGCAACACTGAGGGTTGCGATCCGTTGCCGGACACGGAAAAAAGACAAAAGACAAAAAAAAAAAAAAGAGTGTGGGTTTGGGCAAGGTCATCCAACTTCTCTGAGTGTAACTCCATTTCATCTGCAAAATGAGGAATTTAGGAATAAAAGATGAGCGACATCTCTTTAGTATTCTTACTGTGTGACTTCTGCTCATCCTGTCACTTGTGTTGATTTCCTCCTCCCGACCCTTCTGCAGAAGCTAAGCTCATGCTGACCACTGCCAGGTCAGATTGGCCACCTCTTAAGGAGGGCTGACCAGTATATTGCCTCCACAGTCCACGTCTCTCTTGCACGCTTAGCTTGCAGGGTGCTCACTATTCCACTCCTCCCGCTGGGGTTAAGGCTTCCTAGATAATCGGACTTTGTTGAAGTGCAGGTGTAGCGTGCAGAATAAGAACACAGCCTTTAGCAATGGTTGGAATTACCTTATTCCGGAGGTGAGCCCATGTGGATGGTTTGGTCTGAATGGTGTTTTAAAAGAATTTGGAATTGCTTAAAACAGATGTCATATATCTAAAACCTGGGCGCTTATGCTTGCAGATTCTATTTCTCATTTCAGGCCTGCCCTAACATTTCCAGTAAGACAGTGCAGATAGAAGTCTCTGGCCTGTTGTCCACTCCTCTTTATTATCCCATCCTCAGTCCCATTCTGTGTTTATGTGGACAAGTCAGCTCCTGTGCCCAAAACCTCCTACTTTTCTGCAGCAGCCACCCATTGGCCAGCAGTGGGTCTGCTCCTAGGAAGGCAGACCTGGGGATAGGGTTGCCAGATTTAATAGATTGCTCCATATTGTTTCAACTTTGTGTTTCCACCTCCCAACACCCGTCCAAATAAATTACAGACCATTTAAAGGAAGGGACCACTTAGTGCTTTTATTTTTCAGGTGCTTATTGTCATGTTATATAAATAGTAGGTACTTAAATGTTCATACAAATTCGAACGTTGACATCTGGATTTTAAGCCAAACTTTTTTTTTTTTTTTTTTTATAAGAGAAGCAGGACAGTGCCAGCCTTAGACCTGCATGTCTGGGCCCCTGCCTGGCTCTGAGCTTCAGAGGGCCCCTGTCTGCCCTCTCTGACTGTCCTGGGGCCTTGTTCACCCAGTTCCCCCACTCCCCATTCTAGAACCATTTTGGGCACCTGCACTCTGAATTCCCTGTCCAAAATGGCCCTAAGAGAGATCCAGGTCTGCATACCTGCTCCAGTAGGGTTACCAGATAAACACAGGATGTCCAGTTACATATGAATAGTCTTCGAGTATAAATAAGTCCCAGATACTGCATATTATGCCTTTTTTCCCCCTCCAGCCTTAAACAAGAATAGAAAAGCCATTTCTAGATTAGCATGAATTCCTTCTCTGATTCATTGTAGGCTGAAAAGATGACTTGGCCTGGTAATGAGTCAGTACCCTGGTTAATGGCCCCATATGATCCTCTAAGAAAGCAATGATTAACTTGTTTATATGGCAGGTTGGTATAAACTGGGTACCCCATACCTCCTGTGACAGTATTTTTTGCCAGCATCGGAGGCCAGGTTTTGCATATGGAAAAGGCCTTTGTGCCCTTGGGGATCAGTGAGGGGTTCTTAAGATAAAGCCCCATGCTGCAGGGACATTAATGACATAAGATATTGGAGCCAGTTCTATATAAATGGTGGTACCACATAGCTGTCCTGGACCCAGTTCAGCTTGCCTTTAAACATAGGACTTGCCCTGTACCGATTCAGTGTGCCCTTGTGGTCACTTATAAGTTCAGGCCTTTCTCCTGAACATATAATGTTTAACTTTGGGCTTGGAAGCCCCAAAGGCAAAATCTTCCCCAGGCAGATGCTATAACTACTCATGCCGAGCCTGTACCCAAGTGACTCTAGGTATTTCATGTAAGGAGGTGATGTCATGCAGTACAAAGAGCCCTGGGCTGGATGGAATAATGGCGCCTGGAGCTCATTCCCTTGTGTGCCTCAGTGTCCCTGTCCATCAGTCCATCAGACCAGGGTAACACCAACTGCCCAACTTTTCAGAGATATTGAAAGAATGAAACCAAGTAAAAGTACCTTATAATTAAAATAACTTATTTAAAGCATCCAGCATGATGTTAGCTCCGTCCATAATTTTTTTTTTTTTAATGCTACAGAAAGAAAACCATTTGGAGAAATAGATAGGAAACTGTTGAAGGGTGGTTATGGTGATCTCATGACATCAGATTACAGTGTACTATGTTATGTGTGTTCATCATGTGTGAATGTATTATTCCTGTAACAAGGAAGAAATGATCAAGCTACATGAAAAAGTGCTCTGGAAGGGAGCAAACGTGTTTGAGTCAACAGTGGTGTTTATTGAACACATACTGCATGGCAGGCTCTGTGGCCTGTTAGTGGACAGGTTATTCGTCAGCAGGATTTCCCACAGCAACACTGCATGGGTGATGTCAGCTAGTGTCCAACACGGCAGGTCTATGCAATGTTGTTTTGTGACAGCATTTAGTTTCCCAGGAAGGTGGCTGGGGAAGTGGTTTGTTGTCCTTCCCAGATCCCAGTGAAATGCTTTTTAGTGCTAAGGAATTTGTTTAAATCCCAGAATGATTTCATCTTGGGGCGTTTGTCATGTGGGTTGGTCAGTGGCCAAGTAAGCAGGGCAGTGTGTGAGAATCACCTGAAGGGCTTGTTAATATACAAATTCCTGCTTCCCACCCCCAGAGTTTCTGATCCGGTAGATTTGGAATGGAGCCCGAGAATTTTGTCTTTCTGACAGTTTCTTATGTGATGCTGATACTGCTGATCCAGTCTATTAGGGTTTCTCTAGAGAAATAGAACCAATAGGAGATTATATATACATAAAACGTGTATTTGTATGTGTGCATAAATATACATGTACATACATGTGTACGAGTATATATACACACACACACACACACACATACACACATAAAAGGAGATTTATTATGAGGAATTGGTTCATGTGATTATGGAGGCTGTAAAGTCCCACAGTGTGCCATCTGCAGGCTGGAGACCCTGGAAAGCCAGGGTGTAGGTCAGTGCGCATCAGAAGGCCTGAGGACCAGGACCACCAATGATGTAAGTCCCAGACCAAGGGAGGGAAAGACCAGGGTTGCAGCTCCAGCAATCAGGCAGAGAGAGTGAATTCTTTCTTCTTCTACCTTTTTGTTCCATCTGGGCCGTCAGCATATTAGATGTTGCCCACTCCTGTTGGGGAGGGCCATCTGCTTTACTCAGTCCACCAACTCAAATGCTAATCTCATCCAGAAACACCCTCACAGACGCACCAAGAAATGATGTTTAATCTGGGCACCCTATGGCCAGTCAAGTTTGTGCATAAATAAACCAACGCATCAGGACACCCTACTTTGAGAACCATTGAGCTAGGGGGTTCTTGCCGTTGGTAGTGACGTTCCCTGAGATGTCTGTTAGTCCAGCTGGATTCTTCTCCCAACTCCCCGTGGTTGTAAGTGTCTGTGTAAGACCTACTTCCTCATTGGACAGATGTGTTTTTGAGTGACTCTGTTCAGGGGGTGGAACTTTCCTTCATTTTTCTATCTTGGCAAAGTGAAACGAAGCAAGGCCACACAAATGATGAGACAGGCCATCAATGCTGGGTGCTGGGATGGGGTATGAAATAAGACCTGGAAAAATCGGGGGACCACTGCCATTGGGGGTGGTTCAGCTGAGCCCACATGGCATGAGTGGTGATTGCGTGTAAAGATTTAATGGGTGGAGTGTAGGGTGGGAGAATGCAGAGATGGCAAAACCACTTTTGGCCTCATTCCTATAAAACCCTAAGGAGTTATAGGAAATGCAAAACTTCTTAGACTTGGTAGACTTGGGGGATCTGAAGCTATGTCCTGTTTGGGAGGGTACCCTAATTATATCTTTGGCTCTACCAAGAGCAACCATTTTTTGGTATGTGATGTATATATATATGTGCAAAGGAGAGTCTGAAGTGAACTTCCTTTCCATTTCCGTCTTGGGAAACTTCAGGAGCTCTAAAATCAAATAGTTTGGATTTGAAACCCATCTCTACCTGAATAAATTGCTGTGATTCTCTGAGCTTTAGTGTTTTTCCTCTGTGAAGTAGGTTTTATAATACTGCTTATCTCAAAGGGTGGTTGTAGGGATTAAATGTGTTATTTACATCGAACATATTTAGAATCATGCCCGGTACATAGAGTTTAATAAATGTCACGTTTCGTGATTATTACTTATTGTCATCCTCTGCCCTCCACTTCATTCCCACAGTTAAATAAGTCTCTTTCCTTCTACTTTCCCAATTATTTTTCTTTCTAAGTTACTTGTATTTGCATAACAGTGTAACGGGTCTGATGTTTTCCTCCTATGCCTGGCATGTGGTAGGTGCACAAATTTTAATGAGTGAAGTTGAGGAAGCAGCCTCAAAGGTGGGGAGGTGCTACTGATCTTTTCTCTTGTTTCTTCCCATCTTCCTCTCTCTCTCTTTGCTGACCACTCATAGCACTTACGACAGCATGACTTCTATTATGCTTGTATGTGTCTTGCATCATCCTGGGTGCTCTGTAAACCTGTGTTGCCCTGAACTGCATGCAGCTGGTGGTGGATCCAGCAAACTCTCACCTTCCTGGCCCTCCCTCCTCTCTTCTCTCCAGGGCCAGGAGCTCACCATTCGCCAGATCTCCCTACTGGGCTTCCGAGACCTGGTCCTGCTGAAGGTGAAACTGGGTGACTTGCTGCTGCTGGCCCAGTCCAAGCTGCCCTCGTCTGTTGTCCAGATGTTGCTTATCCTGCAGGTGAGAGCCTGCTGGAGGGCCATCTCTCGCCTTGCACCCCAAGGCCAAGGGATGGAGGGAGAGAGGGAGGAAACTGCTATGTGGGATGGGCGGGGGGAACTAAATGACACAGAGCACCTTAGCTTACTTCAGTATTTTTTAGTTTACCTGTCCATGCTCCTTAGTTCACTTGTCCATTTGATGTACATCCCCTGAGCACCTGTTAGGCCCATGGGATTTCAGTGGGGATTGAAAGAAGTAGACATGCTTATCCCCTCTCCAGTTATGCCAGGGAGCCACAAGTTGCAAGTAACAACAAAGAATCCACTTTGGCCTAGCTCAAGCCAGACCAGGAACTCACTACCCTGAGCACCTGTTAGGCCCATGGGATTTCAGTGGGGATTGAAAGAAGTAGACATGCTTATTCCCTCTCCAGTTATGCCAGGGAGCCACAAGTTGCAAGTAACAAAAAAGAATCCACTTTGGCCTAGCTCAAGCCAGACCAGGAACTCACTGGAAGGTTTCCAGGGCAGATGGTCTTCATGAGGGATCACAACCAGGAATGAGACAATGTCTAGCCACAAAGCCACCAGCCTCCAGCCTTTCTCCACTTCCTGGTCACTACCTGTACCTGATCTCCCTTGTTCTCTGTGATGCTGCCTCTCCTGGCCTTGCCTGGTCTCTCTCTACAGAATTGTATTGGGTGCTTTTGTTCGCACCTGATTGAATGTTGTATCCCATAGCCTGTGTGTTTCTAGTAAGAGACACCCTATGGGCTGCCTAGTGTCTCCTAATCCCAATTCTAGATCAACAGTAAGGAGATGAGTTGACACTTGTTGGTACCTGACTGTGCGCCAGGCATGGGCCAAGGACTTTTAAGTATGTTGTTTTTTTAATCAAATAATCCAAACAGCCACCTTGTGAGGAAGGCTTTGTTGTTGTTCCCATTACAGATGAGGAAACTGAAACCTGGGAAGTTTATGTGCTTGTCTTAGTCTGTTTTGTGTTGCTGTAACAGAACACCCCAAACTGGGTAATTTATAAAGGAAAGAGGTTTATTTGGCTCATGATTCTGGGACAGCTGCATCTGGCACGGGCCTCAGGCTGCTTCTACTCATGGTGGAAAGCGGCAGGGAGCTGGTGGGTACAAGCAGATCATGTGGCGAGAGGAAGCAAGAGAGAGAGAGGAGGTGCCAGGGTCTTTTAAACAACCAGCTGTCATGGGAACTAATAGAGTGAGATTTCACTCAGACCCCCCTCCCCCAGGGCGAGCATTAATCCGTTCATGAGGGATCCAACACTGATCCTCAGCTTCCAACACTGATCCTCATTGGGGATCAGATTTCCACATGGGTTTTGGCGAGGACAACACATCCAAACTCTATCAGAGGTCTCTCCGCTAGTGAGTTTTCTTAAGATTCAGACCTACGCACACTCTGCTTCCTCCCCACAAGCTGGAACAATTG